ATTATGGGCTCAATGATAAGTAGATTTTTCATGTACATAAATGTTTATTGGGAGAATTGAAATTTTTACTTTTTTAAAAAAAATTAGTGTTTATTTATTTTTAAGAGACAGACAGAGTGTACACGGTAGAGGATCAGAGAGAGAGGGAAACACAGAATCCAAAGCAAGTTCCAGGCTCTTAGCTGTAAGCACAGAGCCTGACGCGGGGCTCGAACCCACTAACTGTGAGATCATGCCCGGAGCCGAAGTCAGACACTTAACCGACTGAGCCACCCAGGCGTCCTGAAATTTTTAGTTTTTGCACAAATATTCCATGTATTATGGGACATGTCACCTCCCTGGGCCCTGCCCATTAATGTAAGCATATTGCTCCCTAACCAATCTGAAAGGGAAAAGCATCCATAGATTTGCCAAATGCCCCCGATGAAAATCACTGTTTAAGAACTTGAAATACTTTAGAAAGCATTTCATACATATTAAGATTATATAGCATTATCACATATATTTCATTTAATCCTCCCCAAAGCCCATGAGAAGTACATCATTACTGTCATTTATTGATGAAGAAATTGAAGCTCCAAAAGGAAATGTGAAAAGTCAAAGCCATTCACCACAGCACATCTTTATCATCTCCTGGATGGAATAAATGATAAAATTCTCCATATAACCCAGGAAATTCCATTGCATCTAGTTTGGCTATCTAGACCTGGGCTGTGCAATATAGTAACCACTAGCTGCATGTGACTATTTAAATTTAAATTAATTAAAAAGAAAATGATGGGGCACCTGGGTGGCTCAGTCGGCTGAGCGTCCAACTTCGGCTCAGGTCATGATCTCACGGTTCGTGGGTTTAAGCCCCGTGTCGAGCTCTGTGCTAACAGCCAGCTCAGAGCCTGAGCCTGTTTTGGATTCTGTATCTCCCTTTCTCTCTGACCCTCCCCTGTTCACGCTGTCTCTCTCTCTCTCTCTCTCTCTCTCTCTCTCAGAAATAAATTTTAAAAAACATTTAAAAAATAAAATTAAATTAAAATTAAAATATAGTTCCTCAGTCACACAACCACATTTCAATGCTCAATAGCCACATGTGGCTAGTGGCTGCCATATTGGACAGCACAGATAGAGACTATTTCCACCATTGCTGAAAATTCTGTTAGGCAGCACTGCTATATTATTTCAGTTTATTGTTAAACTTTCAATTGGCTCCATTTGGCCCACTTTCTCCTCTAAGCTGCTAACAATCTTACACACACACACACACACACACACACACAAACACACACACACACACACTATGCTCAGCTTTTTCTCCACATCTTGGTTTATGCTGTTCTGTGCCTAGAATATTCCTATTTTTCATTATTGAATCTATCTGCTTACATATTTATCTCCCTATGGGACTATATACTTCTTGAGATCAAGGCCATACCTTATTCATCTTTGCATCCCCAGTACCCCACACTGTAGCTGGCACATGGTCAGAGCCTAACACTCACCAATCAATACTGCCTTGCATGTATTTTCTTCTTGATCTTCATCTTGCAGGGTAACTGATAAAGAAAATTCGTGTGCTCCCATATAAAGTGGATGTAACTACAATTAATCTTGAAGTCCAAGTTATGAATTAGATTTCAATGAAAGTATTTGGCATTTACTAACTCCTGCTTGTGTGCCCAGTACTATCATGAAAATTTAATAGATATAAAAAGCATAGGTTTTGCCCATGGCAGTCCGTTGTCCTGGAAGAAACCAAGTGCATACAATATTTAAAATGTCTGGAGATAATTAAGCAATATTTAGTAGAGCTTGTGATTTAAAAGTGTGAAATGTTTCAGGAATAGAAATGTGTACAATGTTATTAACGAGAGGTGCTTGGAAGAGAAAGCTTTTTGCAGAAGGGCCAGTTACTTGCGGTGAGTCTTAAATGAAAGCAAGATTTGCATTAAAAAAATGAGAAAAAGAATTTGGTTTTAAAGAGGAGCATTGTTCGTAGAAAGAAATCATACAGTCACGAAATCAAGAAAGCAATGAATGTGATGATATTGGCAAGGGAGGAGATAATATGAAAATACATTGAAGCATTTACTAGGTGCTTATTTTGTGCTCCTGATATAGATGGAGGGATGAGGAAAGGGCATTGCTTTATAGAAGTGGGCACTTTGAGTTCTTCCTGAAAATATGAGCTTTCCTCAAATTTTCCTCTAATTGTGCCAAATATTTGTGTTCTTTCCATTGATATTTACCTACTATTCCCTGGATCCACTTTACAGGACTTGACTGCCCACACCTGAGTCAGGTGGGAAAAAAACATTTGGAGGCAAATGACACAGGATCAAGCCAAGGAAGGAACCAGAAGCACTTCTCCCCGCCCCATGGGAGAATTAGACATAAAACCCATGGAGATAATGTACTGAAATTAGTAGTTTAGGACATGAAACCCCTCAGGAATAAGAACAGAGAGATTCAGGGTTCCTAAGCCACATTTGAGATTCCTACTTCAGGAGTCTAAACCAAAGACAAATAAAATTGTTCAGACCACCAAGGAACAAATATCATGTCATGTAATCAGCCACAGTTCCCAGGTTTGGGGACTCTCTTCGGTTAGGATAAGCCTGGATTGGGATTAGGAGTCTCAGAATAATGGGTTATTTAATCCTGGCAGCTCCAATTTTTCTCACCTTCAAAATATTGATGAGTGAAAGAGAGAGTTGATGGAGGTCATTTCTATGGTGCCTTTTGATGCTCATATTCTATGGGTCTAACAATCAACCAACATCTGGGTCTATGCAAAAGAGCAATCTAAAGGCTGATATGAAGCTGACTGCAGGGCTAGAACTAGGAAACAGGGGAGGTTTCCCAACAGATTCCAAAGGGCAGAAGTGAAAATACTCTTCACCGGCTACTGTGGTTTGGCTTCCAGAGGGCTGGCTGTCTGGGGGGCTGCTGCCCGCGGGCTGTATGCGGTTTCTGTCCTTGAAGCCATGCAGCACACTTGTGAGCACAGCTCATTTAGACACTCGCTTGTAACTTAACACTGTTTCCACTATGCTGATGTATCACGGCCACGTCAGTCTGCACAGCATTTACTTCTCCAGCATTCTAAGACCCGTGACAGCGGTGGCTCATCCACGAGAACTCTTCACCATAATTCCTTCCAATTATTTGTTATTTAAGAGAATTCTATTATAGGCAAGAGATCTCAGAGACTCACTAGAAGGATGGCATCAGTGTTTATCTGCTGTTTGGAATATGAAGAGATACACGGGCAGATAAAGATGTTTAAAATATTTTAAGAAAAAATCCAAAATAGGTTTCTACATTTTGGATGCAAACCAAGCCCAGAAATGCAAGCAAGGTGTGACACTGGAGTTTCATAAAATAACTTGTATTTCTAAAATTACTGGCACATAGTGAGTGGAAAGAGTGCTTTATTAGAAACTGAGATCTTGGGGTGACTGGGTGGCTTAGTCAGTTGGGCGTCCGACTTTCGCTTAGGTCATGATCTCGCGGTTCGTGGGTTCGAGCCCCGCGTCGGGCTCTGTGCTGACTGCCAGCTCAGAGCCTGGAGCCTATTTCAGAGTCTGTATCTCCCTCTNGAGCCCCGCGTCGGGCTCTGTGCTGACTGCCAGCTCAGAGCCTGGAGCCTATTTCAGAGTCTGTATCTCCCTCTCTCTCTGACCCTCCCCTGCTCACGCTGTCTCTCTCTCTCTCTCTCCTAGAAATAAATAAAAATATTTTTTTAAAAAACCTGAAATCTTAGGTTCTAGCACTCAGTCTGGTTTTCCTCATCCTTAAAAAAAAACAGATTAAAACATATATCTATTCAAAAAGTTTTATGCTGATGTTCACAGTAGTAGTATTTACAATGGCCAAAAAGTGGAAGCAACCCACATGTTCATCAACTAATTGATGGATAAATAAAATTTAATATATTTACATAATGAAATATTATTGGGCAATAAAAAGGAATGAAGTACTGATACATGCTACAATATGGATGAAGCTTGAAAACAGTATGCTAGGTAGAGAAGTCAGTCACTAAAAAATGCATACAATATGATTCCATTTATGTGAAAGGTACAGAACAGGTAAATCCGTAGGGACAAAAAAATAGATTAGTGGTTTCTTGGGGATGGGATAGGGTGAAGAGGCAGAAATGGGGAATGACCGCTAATGGGTACTAGGGGTTCTTTGGGGGATATTGAAAATGTTCTAAAATTAGATTGTGGTAATGGTTGCACAATTCTGTGAATATACTAAAAACCTCTGAACTGTACACTTTAAATGGATGAATTTTTCGGAATATGAAACATATGTCAATACAACTATTTTTTAAACATTTATTCATTTTTGAGAGACAGAGACAGAGTGCAAGCAGGGGAGGGGCAGAGAGAAAGTGAAATAAAGAATCCAACGCAGGCTCGAGGCTCTGAGCTGTCAGCACAGAGCCTGATGAGGGGCATGAACCCAGGAGCCATAGGATCATGACCTGAGCCAAAGTCCAACACTCAACTGACTGAGCCACCCAGGCGCCCCAGACTATTTTTTTTTTAATGTTTTATTTATTTCTGAGAGAGATAGAGAGACACAGTGTGAGCAGGTGAGAGTCAGAGAGAGAGGGAGACACAGAATCTGAAGCAGGCTCCAGGCTCTGAGCCAGCTGTCAGCACAGAGCCCGACGCAGGGCTTGAACCCAGGAACCATGAGATCATGACCTGAGCTGAAGTCAGACGCTTATTCGACTGAGCCACCCAGGTGCCCCCACCCCAGACTATTTTTAAGGGAGAGATTGTGGGGCACCTGGGTGGCTCAGTCAGTGGAGCATCCGACTTCGACTCAGGTCATGGTTGTTATCTCATGGTTTGTGGGCTCAAGCTCCAAGTGGGGCTCTGTGCTGACAGCGTGGAACCCACTTGGGATCCTCTGTCCCCCTCCTTTCTGCCCCTCCCCTGCTCATGCTCTCTTTCTCTCTCTCTCTCTCAAAAAGAAACATTTAGGGCCGGGGCTCAACGAGGCGGCGGGACTGCAGAATTTCCACACTGATTAGTCAACAGTGGAAAATCTGAAGAGATGCAAGTAGGAAAAAGAAACTAAAACAGGCCTGAAGAGCGATGCGACAGGCGTGATGGAGGTCGAGTCCTCCTACTCGGACTTCATCTCCTGTGACAGGACCGGAGGTCGGAACGCGGTCCCTGACATCCAGGGGGACTCGGAGGCTGTGAGCGTGAGGAAGCTGGCTGGAGACATGGGCGCGCTGACGCTCCAGGGGGCAGAAGGACAGACAGAGGCGGGCACCCCAGACAAGGAAGCCAGCAAGCCGCCCGAGAGCAGCGATGGGACCACCTCGTCTTGAGTCTGACTTTGCCCATGAAGGGAGGAAGAGAGACCTGCTGTCCCCACCTTGACAGGGACCCCCGGCATTGGCCTGGCAGCCTCTTCTCTGAGCCCCTGTACCAGGCAAGCCAAGCCAGAGTGAAGCGGCACCCCCGGAGGCCGCCGTGGCCCCTGCCCTGGGAAAATCTTACCCCTCCTCTGCCCCCCCGCACCCTCCACTCGCCCAGCACCTCCTCACCGTGCCCGGGCACTCTCACACAACCCTGTAGCTGCGGGGCATTATTTATTCAGTGGGCACCTGGGTGAGCTGCACCCCCAGGAATGAGCCTCCGTAGGTGGTCTGGGCGGCAACCACAGCCCAGCTCTGCCCAGCCTCCTCCAAGCCCAACCTTTGGAGTCAAGACCTTCATAACCCTTTTTTTAAACACTTTTAAACTTTTTAAAAACTTTAAACCTCTTTTCAGCAGAGAGAAGGGAGCTGACTTTTTTTGGGAGGGTGGGGGAGGCACTCTAAGCTAAACTGACCATCTGTGCAGCTCCAAGGCCCCTCCTGGAGCCTCCCGGACCCATTTCTAGGGAAGGGGTTTTGTGCTCAAAACTGACCAACTCTTTGCCCTTTCTACCAACATAAGTGGCACCTAGGACCCAAGAAATAAATGCTGATGATTTGTGTGGAAAAAAAAAAAAAAGAAACATTTAAAAAAATAAAAAAGAGAGAGAGTGTGTAAAAATACCAAGAGGAAAATGCTCTATTTGGTTAGGAGTCACTATCATCTTCACCTAAGGAAATTTGCTGGGAGGGAAATGACAAATTGCCAGTAGCTAACAGAATAGATACCAGAGGACAAGGACATGGGAATGACTGTCTTATAAAAGGAAGATTAAAGTAAAACCTAATAACACAATATGAAAAAATGACATCAATTTACTTGTTTTCTTTCTAGGTTTGCCTTATGTTTCATATGTAAACAAGATGTAATTGGCTTGTAGAAAACAGTAGGTATTGTTTCAGATTTCAGATTTCAGATACTTTGTTCTGTTTCAGAATGGTAGAATCCATAAATCAGTCCTTGTCTGCCCTAGAGACAAAGAAAAGATATGCAGAGCATTAAAGCCAAGAAATTCTGACGTCCTACTGGGTGTTAATTCTCCCTCTTAATCAAGAACTGATTATGAAGAAGGAAGACAGAAAATCAAAATGCTATAAAGATTTAAGGTTTTTTACTCTTCTCCATAACTCACACTGTACACATGCTAATTATGACATTCACTAGAGCAAGAAAATTGAGATGTTGTTGCAAGGTTCTGTATAGCGGGATCTCTGCCAGTTATGATGTATAATCCAAGTACATATGCTTGCTCTACGAAGCTCTATAATATCAAGGTACTCTGCCTCTGCCTCCTCAGAAATACACTATATCCAAAGAATAGTAAAAGGGAATTAAAAATACTTAATAGCTTGATCACACTTAGTCTTATATTTGTCCAGTGCAGACACTGGTTTGCTGGTGATATAGGTATAAGGCATTACCTTGAGCCAAGAAAATGAATCAGATATTTAATGGATATGTGGAAACGGACATTTTCTTAAAAAATTACAAAAATGGAAGCCAATAGTACACTAAATTATAATAAAGATTTTCATTAAAATTCTGAGCAGGAATGTTATATACTATATCCTTTCCCTGGAAGGATTAAGTATTCTGCAAAAGAATGCTTGAATTCTTTTGCAAAGAATACGGTGTTCATTCTTTTATAGATAAATATACTTTGTAGGCTAGTCTACAGAGCAAGTGGATGAATTTTCCCCATTTCATTATTTCTATATATTGAAAGCATGGGGCAAGAAGTGAGACTCTAGTTATCAACTAGCCAATTCTGTCTAGATCTCTAAATTATAACTGAAAATGCCTTACAGAAGAATGTCAGGTCTTAATCTTACATCTCTGGAGAGTCAACAGGAATAGCCCATACTGTATATAGCACTCCAGTGCTTTATCAGTTATTTCTTTGTAAAAGTAAGGCTTTGTCTGGGGTGCCTGTGTGGCTCAGTCGGTTAAGCATCCCACTTCAGCTCCAATGTCCAATGGGTTCATGGGTTTGGGCCGTACATTGGGCTCACTGGTATCAGTGCAGAGCCTGCTTCAGATCCTCTACCTCCTTACCTCTCTCCCTCCCTCCCTCTCTCTCTCTCTCCCTCTCTCTCTCTGCCCCTCCCCTCTGCACACCCTCTTTCTCTCTTTCAAAAATAACCATTTTTAAAAAGTCAGGCTTTGTCTTTGGTTAAAATTGAAAGTCCCTGGGAAGTCTGAGCAATATGCCTTAGCAATCATTTAAGTCTGGCTATAATGAATTTAGCAGATCCTTAACTAACAGTAAGCTTTAATGATGGGAACAGGGTATAGGACTTCTTGGCTACATTGGACATCTAAGGGCTAGGGAAAGGGACCATGCTAGAGCAGGGGATCTTTACAAAAGATGGAGTAAGAATAAGGACATGGCTCCAATAAGCTTTAATTTCAGAATTACAGAGGTGGAGAGCATAATCACAGAGCTCCCAGGTGCCACATCAGGCCAGGGAGTCAGGAGATATGCAAAGAAAGTAGGAATATAAAACCTTTGTATAATTCCCCAAAGTTAAGAACTTAAGCACACTTCCCCCTCAAAGCCTAGGGTTTCTGTGTGCTTATGTTTAGGGGCAGCAAGTAAGGATGATACCTGGCAGAATTCCTGCCACTCTTGAGCAGGTCATGGGGAGAATTCACCTCCAAGCAGGGCCTGTTAACCTGGTGGTGAGGCCCTGTATCTGTGTGTGAGCACTGGAGAAAGTGGGCACGCAGAGGACGGGGGCTGTTTGGCCTACGGCTTCCACGTACAGAGGACCTCACGTTTGGACTTTGTAAGTTACTTCCATAAGAGAACATGTACACACACAGTCGTGTACACAGATGAGTGGAAAGAAGACAGACAGTAATCTTTCAGTTTTAATCCTGTGTCCCATTACCCAACCACAGAGCCTTTGTGGGATCTACATGAATATTTTTAATAAGTCTTATAATTACCTCGTGAATAATAACAATGCATGTGTGAAACATGCTAAATTGTTAAAGGTAAAGTAGACCGTAGTGTTCATAATCCCATTTTGGAATCCATTTATCCGTTCATATGCCAGGAACTTCAAACACTGGAAGCAGCTTGGGCCCCTATTAACATTTGACAGATTCTGATGTGATGTGTCAGCTGCTAAGAACAGAGGCAAGTAAACTTAATTTCTGGGGTCTGCAGTAATGAAAAAGGGCTAACAGAATTTTCCTGGTCAACGAAGGAACCCTGGGACTCTAGTAAAAAGATTCTTGGGAGCGTCCCTGGCATGATTATTTGGATACTACAGCACAAATCTACTTCTGTTTGAATTATCCTAATATCTTCAGTAAGAGTAATTTTTAATTTTTTAAAGTTGTTATTGGGGCACCTGGCTGGCTCAGTTGGTTAAGCCTCTGACTTCACCTCAGCTCATGATCTCACAGTTCATGGGTTCGAGCCCCGCGTCAGGCTCTGTGCTGACAGCCAGCTCAGAATCTGGAGCCTGTTTCGGATTCTGTGTCTCCCTCTCTGTCTGACCCTCCCCTGCCCATGCTGTCTCTCTCGCTCTCTCAGAAATAAATAAAACATTAAAAACTAAAAAAAAAATAAAGTTGTTATTTAAATTCCAGTTAATTTATTAATTAATTTAATTAATTCCAGTTAATTAAATTCTAGTTAATATATAGTGTAATATTAGTTTCAGGTGTACAATTTAGTGATCCAGCACTTCATACAACAGCTGGAGCTCATCACAAGTGCCCTTCTTTTTCTTTCTTTTTTTTTTTTTTGAAAGAGAGGGCAAAAGTGAGCAAGGGGCAGAGAAAGAGAGAGAATCCCATGAGAGGGAGAGAGAAGTAGGGCTCACCCAGGGCTCGTGTTTTACCTGAAGCGGGGCTTGTGCTTTCCCGATATGGGACTCAGACTCACAAACTATGAGATTATGACTTGAGCCGAAGTCAGATGCTCAACAACTGAGCTACCCAGGCACCCACAAGTGCTGTTCTTAACCCCCATCACCTATTTCACCCATTTCCCTCTCACACCTCCTCTCTGGTAACCATCAGTTTGTTCTCTGTATTAAAGGCTCTGTTTCTTGGTTTGCCTCTCTCTCTCTCTCCCCCTCTCTTTTCCCCCATGCTCATTTGTTGTTTCTTAAATTCCACATTTGCATGAAATCATATGGTATTTGTCTTTGACTTATTTCTCTTTGCATAATACTTTCTAGCTTTGAGTAATTTTTTATTTAGATAAGTAAAAATTATTTAGATAATTTAGACTTTTTGTTTAGATAATCCAGAACATCAATTCACCCCTTGACTTTAAGGATATAGAATATCGTCTTGATCTTAAATCAGCTAGGTACTGAGAGGTATAGCACTTCTTAAAGGAGCCTACTGATAACTTGGTTCATATATGTGAAAAGATAGCTAGCGATGCAGGGTAGAGGATAACGGGTAAGTACCATGCCAGTGGCCTGGTCAACTAGGAGTATGGGTGGGAGTTCACTGGGAAGAGAACCTTTGGTCAGAGAGAAAGTGCAAGTAAGACAGAATCTAATCTATGCTGGGCCTTTTCCCTTTTGAATATGTGTTTATGTGTTGTCCCCTAGACCAGATATTGTGCATTTTTGCAGAAAGCCAGAAGGAAGAAAATGGAGGAGAGTGAAGGTTCTAAAGAAAGAGACAAGACTCAGTGTGTGTGTGTGTGTGTGTGTGTGTGTGTGCGCATGTGTGTGTGCATAAAACACAGATGTTTAGGGTAGGAGAATAGGTAAGGAAACTTCCATGAGGTAAGCAGGAAATAACCATTTGGTGGAAAGATTCGGGGAAGAGTTGGTAATGTGAGAAGGAAGGAAAGTCAAGAAATTGCCAAGATAAATATGTGAATGGATCAGGAAGAGGTGAATAAAAGAGTTACTTATGGCAGAGTGGAGCTGCGACTTCAAGAATGCTTCAAGGTCGGATGGCCATGACTGCAGCCACTTCCCTGGGACCACTCATTCTGCACTGGAATCTGGACTGTTGAGTGATTTGTGGATGGCCAGCAATGTGACTGAAGCTGTGAAGGCAAAGGGACTGAAGTCGAATCTTTATTCTTATGGGTCCAATATTCGGTTCCTATCTTTTTGGGGTGGAGGCATGGGCTTGAGGAAGACAGTCTTCTCTGAGCGAGCCTGGCCAGATCTCAGGCTTTGTAGAAACTAGAAGTGGCCCAGTAAGTGTGATCATTTTTATTTGTATGTTTTATAAGAGGTATTTTGTAAGCAGCTTATTGGCAACGGTCATCTCTTCTATCAACCAGTTAAAATGCTGTTCCTGTTTCTCACTTTTATTATATCAGAATATTTTAAAAAGTAAATCTGTGCCCTTGATTCAGGATTGCTGACAAAAGGGTTACATTTAAACCTATTACTCAGGGAAAATACCTATTGGTTTCTCCTAAAGAGCTTATTATAATGGTGACTCAAGATAGAAATTCCCAATATCTTCTGACTCCCCGTCAAGATTCAATTAACAGGAGAGGAAATGAAACGTGAACTAGCTCTGTAACAGACTTGCATTGCCTTAATCTCCATAGTTAATTGACGC